CTGTCTCAGGAGCAGTGATGTTGGTGGTGGCGGTGTTGGCAGAAGTTACGAGTTTAGTGGCGTCAGTGGGAGAGGCCAAGGTAACTGCATGGTCAATGGTGCCGGGCACATTGAATACGGTTGAGGGCAGTGGTAAGCACAAGCAAGTTTAGTATACTTACGGTTTCTAATGTTAGATAGGGTGGAGAAAAAGCATTGGTTGAGGGTGTGGATCCTGTGTAGAATGAAAGACAAAGAGAGGTCCTTTGCAGGTTTGGGAGAGGGAGGCTCATTCCGGACTCCCTCGTCCGCTCCACATTCCCCACTAACCCCACCACAGCCGGCACCTTTCTCTGCAACCACAGGAAGTGCTACACCTGCCCCTACACCTCCCTTCAAGGCCCAAAACAAACCTTTCATATCAGACAGAGGTTCACCTGTACATCCATCAACTTGGTCTACTGTATCCGCTGCTCCTCTACATCAGTGAGACCAAGCATGGACTCAGAGACCGTTTTGTAGAGCATCTGCACTCTCTGTGACAAGTGACAACACCTTCTAGTCACCAACCATTTTAACTCCTCCTCCCACTCCCTGAATGACATGTCCATCCTGGGCCTCCTCCAGTAGTCACAATGACACCACCCGCAAACAGGAGGAGCAACACCTCATATTCCTCCTTGGGAGCCTGCAGCCCGATGGCCTAAACATGGAATTTACCAGTTTTAAAATCTCCCCACCCCCAGCCTCAACCCATGTCCAAACCCTCCCTCTCATCCCCGCCTCCTTGACCTGACACAACCTGTCCATCTTCTCTCCCACCTATCTGCCCCACACATCCCACTCTCCAATCCCCACCACTCCCGACCTGCACTCACCAATCACCATCCCACCTACGTTCCCCAGCTCCATCCCTCCTCTCTCTATTTCCCAGCTCCCTTCCCCCTCCCCACTTCTGAAGAAGGGTCCCGACCCGAAACATCAACTTTCCTGCTCCTCTGATGCTGCCGGGGCCTGCTGTGTTCCTCCAGCTCCACACTGTGTTGATTATATAAATGCAAGTATTTTCCTTAATAGTTTTTGCTGATGTGTAATGCCTTAAAATTTAATCTGCTGATTCTTTCAATAGGGCTATATGTAAGCAGTAAGGTTAATTTGGACAGAATAATTTCAGTTCCCTTGACTGACAAACTAGTGGATTTGAACAGCCTCTCAGATCCTAAAAGATATTAAATATTTCAATTATAATTACAATTCTACAATTTTTTTTTCAGGCACCAACAGCAGAGTGCTCTGTAGAATAATATAGAAATTACTGACTGCAGCCCACGTCTCTCTTTGTATTTTCATTAAAGCTTCACACAAGACCTATCTTGAAATCGCAGCAAGATTGAGACAAGGAAGTCTGTCTGTGAACTTTACAATAGATGTTCACTTGTTCAAAAATTAAGGATGAACTTGGTCTGTATACAAGGCAACTAATGACAGTTCAATTGATTAAATGTGCTCATTTAGTTTTGCACAGTTAAATGAAGAGACGCAGAAGAAGAACTATATTTTCTGCCAAGTGGTTCATTGTATTCTTCAGGGTTAACATCACTATTTAAGCATCTTAAGTCATTATAATTTATTTTCAAATGCCGTATAAAACAAAAGACCTGTCTAGATCTAAAAGTCACAATTTAAAAATAAGGGGTCACTTATTCAAGACAGAGATGAGGAAATATTTTGTTCTCTCAGGGATTGAGTGTACTTGGAATTTTGTTCCTCAAAGCGCAGTGGATGCAGAATTTTTAAATATTTTTAAGGTGGAGGTGTACAGATTCTTGATTTTTAAGGGGTTAAAAGATTGAGAAATGCAGGAATGTAGAGTCGTGGTTAAAATTAGATCAACCGTGATTTTATTGAGTGATGGAGCAGGCTCGAATGGCCGGGTGGCCTACTTTTGTCTAGTGTTTGTATGTATCCTGGGCTAACAATCTTCATCTGCTTTTACTGATGAATTACCCTCTATCGTAAGGTCAGAAGTGGGTACGTTCACTGACGATTGCAGTGTTCAGTATAATTTACAACTCCTCAGATACAGCAGCAGTCTACGTCCATATGTGACAAGACCAGGACAAAATATAGACTTGTGCTGATAAGTGCCAAGTAACGCTCATATCACACGAGATGGCAATGACCATCTCCAAGAAGACAGATTCTAACCACTGCTCGTTGACCTTCAGAGACATTCACGTCACCGAATATTCCACTACGAACATCCTGGAGGTTACCATTAACCAGAAATGGAGCTGGACTAGCCACATAAATACTGTGGCTAGAAGAGGCTAGGAATCCTACAACGAGTCACTCAACTCCTGTTTTCCCAATGCTGGTCAATGATTTACAACAAGTCAGGAGTGTGATGGAATACTTACCACTTTATTGGAGGAGTACAGCTCCGAAAACACTCAAGAAGCCTGATACCATCTATGACAAAGCTGTCTTCTTGCTTGGCACCAATTCATCACCTCCAACATCATTCCCTTCACCACAGATGCACAACGGCAGCAATGTGCACCATTTATAAGATGCACTGCAGTAATTCACCAAGACTCCTTCAACAGCACATTCTAAACATGCAGGCTCTACTATCAAGAAGGACAAGGGCAGCAGATGCATGGGTACACCACCAGCGGCAAGTTCCCCTCCGAGCCACACACCAACCTGACTTGGATTGATACTGCCATCCCTTCAGTATTGCTGGGTGAAAATCCTGAAACTGCCTTCCCTGTGCACACAGATTGCAAAGGTTCAAGGCGGCAGCTTTCCCCAAGGGAAATTGGGGATGGGCAATAAATGTAAACCCAGCCAGTGATGCCCACATCCCATGAATGATTAAAGGAAAGTACGTATGAGAAGCAGTATTCATTCAACTCTGGATTTCAAATAACAAAGAACAAGCTAACACAGGAACAGGCCCTTTAGCCCTCCAAGCCCGCGCTGAAACATTTTGCCCTTCCATATTAAAACTGTCTTCACTGACAGGATCCATATCCCTCTATTCCCATCCTATTCATGTTTTTGTCCAGGTGGTTCTTGAATGTTGTTATTGTGTCTGCTTCTACCACCTCCTCTGGCAGCATGTTCCAGGTACTCACCACCCTGTGTGTGAAGAACATGCCTCACACATCTTTTAAACGTCCTCACACATTGAACCAGTAACCCCTAGTAATTGACCCCTCTACCCTGGGTAAAAGCCTCATAATTTCCACTCTATCCATGCCATTCACAATCTTTTAAACTTCTATCAAGTTGCCCCTCAACCTCTTGCGTTCCAGTGAAAACAAAACCAGTCTATCCAACCTTTCTTCATAGCTAAAATCCTCCATACCAGGCAATATCCTGGTAAACCTTTTCTGTACCTTCTCCAAAGCATCCACATCCTTCTGGTCATGTGGAGACCAGAACTGTACGCAATATTCCAAGTGTGGCCTAACTAAAGTCCTATAAAGCTGCAGCATAACTTGTCCATCCTATACTCAATGTCCCTTTTTTACTACCTTATTTGCCTGAGCTGCCACCTTCAGTGGTCTGTGGACCTGCACACCCAGATCTCTCTGCATATCAATACTCCTACGGGTTCTGCCATTCACTGTATAATTTTCACCTGTACTTGACCTTCCAAAAGGCATCACATTTGTCCTGATTAAACTATCTGCCATTTTTCTGCCCATGCCTCCAACCGATCTATATCCTGCTGTATCCTCTGACAATCCTCCTCACTATCCGCAACACTAATCTTTGTATTGTTCACAAACTTACTAATTAGACCAGCTACATTTTCCTTCAAATCATTTGTGTATCACGAACAGCAGAGGTCCCAGCACACATCTCTGTGGAACACCATTAGTCACAGCCCTCCATTCCGAAAAGCATCCTTCCACCACTACCCTCTGTCTCCTGTAACTAAGCCAGTTCTGTATCCATCTTGTAGAGCTGGATGAACACAGCAGGCCAAGCAGCATCAGAGGAGCAGGAAGGCTGACGTTTCGGGCCTAGACCCTTCTTCAGAAAATGAAGAAGGGT